GAATTCGATCACTGAGACCACCGTGGTGTAAGAAAAGAACTGACTCCTTCGAGTTTTCCGCTTGTTATGCTTGGCTAGGCTTTGGGTTGTTTCCATGGTCTCTTACCCAGCAACTAACTGAAAATAAAGACTCACACAGCTCTGCGAATGAAACAATGCAAGTTTATTATGATCGAAGCAGATTCGAAAGGGATATACTGTTAAGATTGACAGTGGGCCCAATAAAGTAAGGATAGACAAGAGTCCCAGAACCTTCATCTGGCAATGGATGGAGATAGAGACAGAGACCCACATTGGAACTTAACTCCCTAGGTCCAAACGAGAAGCAGAAGGAAAGAGAACGTGAGCAAAGAAGGCAAGACCAGAGGGAACCTTCATCCGACGATGGATGGCGATACAGACGGAGACCCACATTGGAGCACCGGACTGAGCCCCCCAAAGTCCAAATGAGGAGCAGAAGGAGGAAGAAAATGAAAAAGGAAATCAGGACTGTGAAGGATGCGATCACCCACTGATACAAGGGGACGGATCTAACGAGAGTTCACCAAGGCCAGTTGGACTGGGACTGAACGAGGACGCGATCCAACCAGATTCTCTGAATGTGGCCGGATTCTCTGAAAGTGACTGGCCCGGAGTCTTTCTGAAAAGCCATTGACAATGACACTGGGACTTGTTTCCTCTGCATATACTGGATTTTGGGGATCCAGTCTGTTTGGACACTCACCTTCCTGGACCTGGAGGGAGGGGGGAGGAACTTGAACTTCCCACAGGGCAGGAAACCCTGACTGCTCTTAGGGATGGAGAGGGAGTGGGGGGAGTGGGAGGGTGTTGGGAGGAGGGAAATGGAAACTTTTATAATTTAATAAAATTACTTTCTCATAAAAAAAAGAAGTCTAAAGAAAAGCAGGGCTGAATACATAGGAGATTATTTTGGGTGGTTCTGTGTTTTGACTAATAAAGTAGGTCATATATTTATTTTTCCTACTGCACATGTTCCATAATGTATCTGATTGTAATCATATATAAATCTAATTATAGAAAGGCAGAGACTATAAATATGGTACTCTTTCTAAAAATTCACTTGAAGGACACAGTTCGCCTTACTGTGCAAGCATCAAAAAACAAACTTGGCCCTTCTTTGCTCTTCTACTCTTCACACCAGATATATTAGTAATTCACTTGAATAGAAACTGTCTAAATTTGATTGTTGTTATAAGTGAAGAAACTTAAAACTCTTCTTTAGAGAGGATATACTTTAGCCTAATGCAGGTTTGGCACTCACAGGGTTAGGGGTTTCTTTATGCAAGGTTTAGAAAGGTGTATGCATATATCATGCAGGTGAGGGTCTGAGCTACAAGTAAAACAGATGGATGTGTATAATGCAAAACCAAACAGGGTCCCAGGCCACTAACTTCTTTCCTATGCTCGTCTGCCTCAACTTCCCACTGAGAGACTTTCACCCTAATTCATCAGGGAAGCTGAAGGCAGGTGGTAAGTCTTCTTGTAACTGCTACATGCTGACTAGGGGTGTGGAGCTGAGTAAAGCAGAAAAGTCTCTCCTATTCTGTCTCTAATGCTATTACGTCTCCTGAGAACCCATTGGAAAACATACACAAAATTTCTCAGCCTGCTTGTCCAAGGTCTAGAGAATGTATTGTCTGGCCATGGTCGACCAAGTTTCCCTCTTTGTTCCTTGTGGAAGCTGTTGCTGAAGGACCTTCTATCTATAAATTGTTCTATTGAACTGTGGAAGTTGTATGTCACATATATGCACATATATATGTACATATTTTATATAAATCACACATATGTATCTTAGATATGTCATATATGTGATGTATGTGCACAGATGCACATATATCACATATACAATGTATATCCATCATATATATCACACACATTGCATATATCACATAACATATATGTATCATATGTGATTATATATGTATGCAGAGGCCCTAAAATAAGAAGAGAATCAAAGAGAGGAGGAATTATTCCTAGGAAATGCTAGCAGTATTTACTTTGCCAACTCATAGTTGAAAGACCAGTAAGTGGGCTCTTAGTTGTATCCACGACTCTGAAAATGTTTTTGATATTTTGTTGTATTTTTCCAGGTTTAATAATAAAATAAGCACCCATCATAGAGTTATGAGCAAGTTGCCTTTTATAGTGCAATAAGTCTAAAGAACTTTTATCTTTGAGGATCACCCCGACAAGGGTTTTATTTGAGATTGAATTTGACCCTACACAGTCTCTTTCACGGTCGTGGTGGTTTCTTTTGACAGTTGCTCAAGGTTGCATCCAGTATGATGCCTGGCTAGTAGGCCAAGGTTCATATCTCCAGGCATTGTCTGAACTTTGGAGGTTCCACCAAAGTCACCCCCAATTATCGCTGTTATTATTTTGGCTTGTGTTTTATCCTGAAACTCATTTTCTTTCTTCCTTTAGGTTCTGATTTCTATAGACAGTGAAGATCATGCCCAATAGCTGATTCAGTGGATCTGGGCTTCTATATGTAATCTTTGTAGTTCATTTCTTGTATCAGAAGCAGATGGGATGATGAAATATTGCACCATTAAGGCTTTTTCTTATAGAGTTATAGAGTTATACAGTATTAGTGTATTTGCTGAAAGCTTACTGGAGTCTGGATGTTATGGGTCAGCAAATTCATCTTCTTTAGCTATGAACTACCTTCGTGTATGAATTATCCTTTGAAGCCACAGTTGTGACTGGAGTGGACGGTCAAAGCAGAAGCAATAATCTCTCCAAACCAATGATCACAACCCCTTTGGGAAGTCAAACCACCCTTTCCCAGGGGTCACATATCAGATATCCCATATATCAGATATTTACATTGTGATTCCTAACAGTAGCAAGATGAGAGTTATGAAGTAGCAACAAGAAATCACAGTTTTTTAGTAAGAAAACAGCAGAATTTCCAGCTTTCCCTTTGGAAATCTCTCTGATTTTATTATAAACAAGTACCTTAGTTTTGTCCTTTTTCATCCACCAAGTAAGACTCTCCAGGAATTTTAATCCCATCAATACTTTATCCTTAGTATTATAATCCACATGAGGCGGAACAGTAGTCGTTGTATTCTTAGCTGTCATATCTACTTCCTGTCTATTCATCCCATCTTTATGATAGTGTAGAGAGTAGCAAGACATTCCTCCCGAGGACACATCAATTGACATGGTCAGAGTCTGAGACACACTGACAAATTTATCTGCATCTTCAGAATAAGCATTCAATTTCCCCTTCATTGTTGGATATCTTCCACTAAAAGGGTCACCTGCACTGTAGGAATCCCTCTGGGCAAAATTACCTCCTTTACTAAAAAGACGGCTTCTTCTGCCTTACTTGGTGTTTCCCCTACAAGTGTTAAAGAAAAGTTGAAGTTCTGCTTCCTGGACCTCAAAGGGATCATCACCAAGTACAGGAGAAGCCTGGGTTTTTTTCCTTGTGATATGAGAAGGGGCACCAGAGGGGCACCACTCCAAAGAGAGTGGAATGGTGAACACCCCTAAGAGACAAGAGGACCATAAAACAGAGGGACCTCCATTGCATCTAGATTTTCTTGATTTATCTTCACATTTCCTTTGCAGAAGTAGTGATGGTATAGAACCATAAAATCCTGTGTATGTGGCATCTCAAGCCACTTCCCCAGCCTTCTATGGTAATAATCTAATTGGCATTGGATGAAGGATGATGCTATTGCTAAGGCTGCCCTTTGAGGCCCACATTCTTCTACATCCCAACAAATATTGTAACTTAGGTGTTGCTCTCTAGGTTAAACTTCTGCCAAAGGGTAAGGATATGCCCAAGAGGCAGAGTACAGTAAAATAATAGATTTCCCCATGAGAACTTGTAATGTAAAGAAGAGGCAAAAAAAAAATGGAGAATGCTAACGTGTTTCCATGAAAAGGGAGTCCACTTGAGAGAGAAGAAAGGGATGTGAATGTGAGTTCCCAGGGACTCCCTGTGGAATCTGAACATCCTCAGTGCCTCAGTTAAGCTCAATATTGACGCTCCTTTTGCATCCTTGGCCTTGGAAATAATTTTCTTCCTTTTAGCTTCCTTTTTAGCTGTGGGACCCCTTGATGAAGGTATAGCGTTTTAGCCACCCTCCAATTGAGGTTTCTGGTCTCTTGCCAACGAGCCTCTTGAGAAAGGCATTGGATCATGTGTCGAGTTACTGCCTGAATGAGGGTTGGAGGAGAAGTTCTATCTATAGTTAGTAATGGTGCTTGGTTATTACTATAATAATTACCAGCTGTTCCTGGCAGGCTGTATACTAAGTTAAGTAAGTCAATAAAGGGCCATGATATCAAAATGTCTTCTTCAAAAAGAGGTTGGCGGGAAACCAACATCTGAGAGGGACATAACATAAGGTGATTCATAAGTTTGGCCCAAGTAAAGAGTGATTCTTCCCTAAGTAAGGCAGGAGGATTAGCCCAGTCTAGAGTACAGAAAGGGCATGGTCCCAGAACCATTGAACCTAGAGTTTCTATTATTGAAGGAGCGCGAGGCCCCCAGAGTTTAATAATGAGCTGTTTGAAGAAGTCACATGACATTAAATCACAGAAAATGGGACTAACATCACTCATATTGGTGTTAACAAAGAACAGATGCTTGAAAGCCGGGAGAAGTCTTCAAACAAGGTCAGCAGAAGTAGGCGAACCTATTGGAGGAAAGTGCAGGTTGCCTCAGTGAATTAGTGCTCAGTCTTTTGTGTTTATTTCTTTTCAACCATTTGCTTGCCTATACAGGCTAGCCTAGGGACTACTCAGGCAGTACTGCAAAGAATGTCCCTAGCGTCTGAATTTCAAGAATAGAGTTAAACTTGCAGAATCACTTCAGATTTGTATAAAGATCAAAAGGGAAAGCAGAAGAAAATGAAATGAAGAAAGAAAAAAATGTATCAATTCTAAGGAGGTGCAGGAGTTTGGTTTTGCCCCAGAGAGCAGAACTAACACTTTTATGAGGAAGGGGAGTTTACCTTGAAGTTGGTTGGGGAAAGGTAGGGCTTGTTTCTTCCCTTTGTTTTCTTTCCTGTCTCTGGCAAAGAAGATAGTGGATGAAATCCAGACACAATCACCCGTATTTCGTAGTGCAAGGGGAACACAGTCTGATGGTCTTTTCAACCGAACTAACTGATTCAACTTGCCATTACACTCATAGATAACCAAATGAAAGTGAGGACCACAGTGTAATGATGGAAGTATTTAGCAGTAAATATAGTAGAGAATTTGTTTTCTTACCTCCTGACTGGCTCAGAAAATATTTTCCTAATAGCTATTTTTCAGGTTGCATTTAGAGAAAAACAAGATAAATAGAAAAGAGATACTAACTCAATTCTCTGTCACTTTTTGTCTAAAGAAGACAGAAATATTTATAAACCATTAATTCATTTGCAGAGAGCACTAGATGACCATAATATAAACAAAATCCATTGCTGAAACCCAACTAAAAATTCACAAAATGCACCAGTGAACCCTTACCTGCTGCCAACAGAATGGAGCCTGGAGCACAGGGTTGGGACCCTGACTCACCTGTTTGTGTCGGTGATTTGGGTAGAAACAGAGCTTCCACACTCTGGGCAGCCTTGTTACCTGGTAGAAGACATGACGATCTTAGGGCAAGTTACACATCCTGAGTTACAGCACCGTGCTGCTAAGCCTAAACCAGATAAAGAATGGAACTTACTCACGTTACTGTAATAGTGAAACCATCTCTGAGCTGGCTGGAACTCACTGAAGGACTGCCAGAGTCCGCAGCAGCTTTTATAGATCACAGTTGATCACATTATCGCAGGATGTGGTCTGTAGTGGTTAACCACAAGTGGGTATTCCGTTAGTGAATAACGGGAAATGTTTACAGAAAAGTGTAAAAAGCGAGATGTTGAAGAACCACTTTTGTTTCACCCCCTACTCCCATCTGACACGTAGCTGATACTTGGTATGTAGGCCAGGCTGGCTTCAGATTTGTGGCAACCCTCCTGCCTCTGCCTCCCAGGGATTGCACAACTGTGCACATCTTTCCGCAGTGCTTTATTTGCACTAATCTAGGCCAAATTTGCATATGACCTTTGTCCTATAGAACAACTCTGTCCTAAATAGCTTCTCTTTCTTTCTCTCTGCTTCCTTCCCTCACTCCTTCCCTCCCTCCCTCCCTTTCTTTCTTTCTTTCTTTCACAATTCAGTTTCTTCAGAAGGAGCTAAAGCAAAAATATTATTTTATTATATTACCAATCTCCTTTCTTCTTCTTTTTTTTTTTGAGATAGGATTTCTCTGTATAACAGCCCTAGCTGTCCTAGAACTAGCTCTTGTAGACCAGGCTGGCCTCGAACTCACAGAGATCTGCCTGCCTCTGCCTCCCAAATGCTGGGATTTAAGGCACGCATCACCACCACCGGCAATATTACCAATCTCTTAAAAATTCTTTGGGTGAGTTGCGTGACTCAGTCAGTAAAATGACTGATAGCCAAGCCTGACTTAAGTCTGATTCCCAGGACCCATATGGCAAAGGAGAGAATCAACTATTGCAAGTTGTCCTCTTCCCTTCACACATGCATGAGCACAGACACACACACACACACACACACACACACACACATACTATGGCTATCACATGTGCACACATAGGTAAACAAACACAATAATTTTAAAATGTTTGTACAGCTCCTGGTTGCTTTCCAAAGCATCTGTGCTATAGAGCGTGAGAATGAGAACCTTTATCACCTGACTTGCCTCACTTTAGTCAGTCTCTACAGCCCAGTTCTATTGACGACCAGTAGTGGTCCCACTCCATGTCTGTTTCCACACCCAGCCATGACATATGGTTTTCCTTCAGCTTTGAAGGCCCTCCTTCCATCTTGCTATGTCCTGATGCCTGGATACCGGAGTTTCACCAATTCTACTGCCTTAGAACAGCGCCTACTGATAATGACATAATACCACAGATTGGACAACCTTATATGGAAATTAGGACCATTTTGGGCTCATAGGTCTGAAATCCAAGGCCAGGAATCCGCAGTTGATGATAGCCTTCTTTCTTGTAGAACCAACGGCAATACCAAGTATGATGGATAACTAGGGTTGCCAAATTTGACTGTTCTGAAAAATGCCGAAAAAATTGCTAACTCTCTTGTCAAGATATGTCTGCAGTAGTGTTTCCATATTGTCAAAGGGAGAAGAACATGGGCAGTTGTGTCCCCTTGTTTGGGGTCCTTGATCAATAAAAAGGAGGCAAATGAGAGAATAGCCAGCTCAGGGATTCTACTCTGTATTTTCTGCCATCTGTGGTGGGTGATACTCAGCCACCTCTGCTCCACCATGGTGCTCTGAAACTATATTTATCCTCTTGCCATCCATTGTGTCCCCCAAGGCCAGGGTCACTTGAACTCCTCTATTTTTTACTTTTTCCTTATACGGCATGTACCACACCAATCAACGTGTTTCCTAATTTTTGGCCTCAGTCACTAGACCGGCAGCTCCTACTAGAAGCAAGTGCCCTGTGTTTCTCTACATGGTAAGAGATAACAAAGGGTTTCAGTGGTGGATAGGCATCTATCGTTCCTACAGGCAGCATCTGGTGCCCTGGGAACATTCGGGAAACCCTTGGGAAATTAATAAGTGGGTGAGCTGACCAAATGTTCAAAACTGAACAACGTGAAGAGTTGGCAAAACACATCTCACTGTCCTGAGGTGGAAACAAGAGAAACATACATGAAGAATTAGAAGGGGCTAAAGATGTGTAGGGGAGAGAATGAAACAGTGATTGGTTTTTAAGCAAAATGGTTTCACCTCATACAATCTAGCATGAATAGAAGCGCCTGCTAGACAACCACCCTGAGGGTTTGTATATTCCATAATCACCTGCCTTTTCTCAAAACCAAGGGGAGGTCCTCCACGTAGCCCGCAGTCCTGAGACAGCATCAGAGGAAGACACATACTAAAATCAGCTTACTACTGACTGGATAACTGATTGGAATGGCGTCCAGTTTCCAGGATCATGAGACAGGTTCTCCAACATCAGATCCATACACACAAGCACCATGGCTCCTGCGCATGCCTTGTGTATAAATAGGCCCAGAGACTGTGGACAAATGTCAGCATCTGTTCTTTGCATAGTCCATTTCTAAGAGGCAAGACAAATTGTTAGAACACAGACTTCATCGTATTTCAGTTAAATCTAAAAATTGTCTGTAATATGATCACTCAACTGATAGGCAGGCAAAAAGAAAGCATGAATTTACTTGGTTTTATTGATTGGCTATGAAAAGTGTTGCCCAATAACTGGATTTCTAACCCCTCTTCTGGGGTTTTCATCCCCTGCTTTTCTAACTGCATCCGATAAAAATCTAGCATGTTTAGTCCCTGCTTTAAACTTTCTTCCGATTCTGGATAAATACCCGTTTCTTATAAGCTAAGCAGCAGGATCCTCAGCAAATATGAACTCGGAAATTGTATCTACAAAACAAAATGGAGCGTGGGAATGGAGAGCTGAGGGGACGAGCCACCCAGAGTGCGATCTTTCAAGAAGCCCCAACTGGGCACAAATTGCTTCATGAATGGGGTCCTATCTTAACAGGGAGAAGCCGGGCTGTTGAGCTCCAGAGTCTATCAGATTTTGGAATCAGTGTTTCAAAGGGGAACACAGAAAATCTAGTCTATAGATCACACAGTCTTCCATTTTCACATGGTCACAGTGGGTGACAGGAGACTTAAGTGACAATGAAGTTAGTTAATCTCTCCTCAGACATCTTTTAGATTCTCCCTTGGGCTTTGATTGGTGTTTCTGCCAGGGTCAGATGCTGCTCAAACCATCCTGCCTGCGGAGACTGGGTCCCTAGCAGTCAAGTTTAATAAAACATGAGAAGTCTGAGCCTACAGACTATTAAGGGCACAGACTATTCCTGCCTGGCCCCACTGAGGTGTGTCAACCCCTGCCCATCCCTTAGTGACTCTCTTACGTGGATTATTGGGTTGCACTTCCACTGAGTTTCAAACAGCACCTCACTGCCTCTATGAAGCATTCCCTGATCCTCATAGGCTTCTGATCTTTTCTTCCTATAACTCAAAGTACTGGCTGGCTCTTTAGTTCTACTTTTGACTGGGTCGTATTTTGATTCTTCATTTTGAGATCATTTTCTTTTGACCTTAGATGAAGTGATTTAGTCAACTGTATGTCAGTTGGTCGGCTGTAAGTCTAAGTCTTAACTCCGCAGTGGGAACTAAACAGGTTCTATCTCACCTCAGTGAACTCTCTACTGTGCCTACCCAGACTGCTGTGTACCCCAGGCTTTGTGAACGCACATGAAATCGGTGATTTGACGAGCACAGGTGCTCCTGAGGCCTGGGTTGTGATTCTGTGATCCTGACTCTGTCTTCCCAGAAATCCCCATTGGATTTGCTTCTCAGTGACTCTCATCAGCATTCAGACCACAGTCCTCTTTTGTTAAAAAAAAAAAGACAGCTTTGAGAGATTTAACCACTTCACATTTTAAAACCAGTTGAAAGCCTTAAAAGCATATATTTTTAGAGAATTCGTTACAAATTACTTGCAAATGAAGGCCCTAACTTTTTCCTACAGAGAGCCCTTGTTTCTTTTTCTGGTATTTCTCAGACCTTATAGCAGCACCACTACTCTGCCTGTGGAAACCAGGCAGTGTGGGGAAGACAATGTGAGACAACAATCCTCACCTATAAAGGCAATTCAACTTACATTAGACTCTGTACTGATGCTAGAAATGACTGTGGTTGCTAAATACAAACTGCATTGCCCGGAGAATATCATTTTCTTTGTCTCTGAAGCTCTCAGGCTGAAGCGCCTCAAAATGTTAGAGCCTTTCTGTGTGTGAACTTAGGGAAAGAGGAGGGCACTGAAGCCACTTGGTTTGTAATTAATTACTTCTTTGGGGATGACTTTGCCTTGTAACTACAGTATTTATCTCTATGCATCTATTATTTCTGATTGTATCTGTCTTATATGCTCTAGTTAGGAGCAAGAATTAGATGCAAAATATAGAACTGATCTCAATTATGTGACCCTAAGTATGCAATCTAGACTCCATAAGCAGAAGACGAGATAGACTATATTGCCATTAATACAGGTTAATTTGTTGAATGCACGCTGTGAGCCAGGCACCCTGCACAGCTCCTCATATACACGGGCTCATTTAATGCTGTAGCAATTTTCCTAGATAGGTAATACCATTATCTCTGTTGAACGAATACAGAAATTTAGACTCAGAGAAGCTGAGTTGAGATGGCTAGCACATAGAGAAACTGCAAAGTGATGCCTAAAGAACCCTGGTTCTCTACTGGGACGGGGTCAGCACTGGTCTTCTAAGCCCTGGTCTTGTTGCCCAGGAGATCAAAAGTAAACCATAAACTTCATAGAGCCTCCGTTTCCTGTCTGGGCTAGCCCAGCTACTTTGTACAGTTGAACGTTTGTCTATTTGCTCACTTTAGAGCAAGCTATGTTTTACTGTTTTGCTTGTGAGAACCACTGGTAACTCTCAAAGAAAAGAGGTAGAGTACATAGGCTTTAGACCCCGTTCCTAAGCCACTGCTCTGCCGGCTTTAACTGCCTTACCTAATTTAGTCTGCACCCGGCTGTGAAGCCCATACTCTTCCTCCTGGACCAATTTCATACCTAAGGAGGTTGTTTGATCCCAAGACATTACATTCAGCCGTGTCAGGTAGATTGGAATCTGAGTAGTCTGGCTCCAGAATATAT